ACTCTGTAAAGGTTCAGAGAGGGTAGCGTAGTAGATATTCAAGCTGAGACCCAGGCAATCTGGATTTGAACCCTTACTGGCCAAGAGAATCTCATGGTGTGTATGTGGTGGTTGGTGAGAAGGGCGAAGAGTACTTCATACACTCCTTCGACATATCACCTTACACTGGTGCCTCTGGAACAACTCTTTTACAAACCAAGTCTCCATAGGAAAGAACATTTCCTCGACAGTATCAGGAACCAGTTGGGGTCACCCAACCACGAACACCAAGAATGACACCCTTGACTTGAGGCTACCCTGGAGGTGAAGACTCCCGCCTAGTTGGGTATAGTCCGGCCCATGGGGAAGAGGCAGAGCGAGCACTCCAGGAAAGCTGGGGAGTCATATCTGGAGGCCTGAAGTCCATCCCTCTTGATCAAGGGTGATGACCAAACAGACATGGCACCCACTCATGTAGAGACGCAGCTGTTAAGAATGAAGGACTCAAGAGTATCTACCTTGAATCTGTATATATTCTTTGTTAGTCTTCTTCTTCTATCCACATTAAAATCTAGGAACAGTTTTTTAAAAAATCTGTGATTTTTAAAGGAGACAACAGAGAATGCGAGAACTATAATGACAGAGAAAAGAACTACACACCTCTTAGGGATGAATCAGAAATCAGGAAAGTCCAGACCCTGGTCACATGGACCACTGAGCTACATGGAAGTCACTCAGGAGGCTGAAGACTGAAGTTGACAGAAGCAAAGTGAACTGCAAAAATATGGGAATTTTGTTGCTCACGTTGAGAGAAATAGGCAACATCACAATCATCTCACCATCCTCTCTGTCCCTCAGCATCTGTCATGGGTGTTCTGGTGGTGGCTCCTCCAAATGCTCTTGAAGTTACTGGGCAAAAATTAACTGACTTACTTACCTAAGCTTTGCAATGCCTTGCATCTTACTAACTGTACCTCTGATTTAAAAGAAAGAAATCTTCTTACCTGCCTTGCAAATGCTAGAGGGATTTTGAATTAGATTAGTCTCTTCTGGTCCGGAGAAAAACAAATCAGCTCCGTTTCACCCCCTCCTTTGGAGAGAGCTAGAGAAAGAAAGAAAAAAGGAATCAGTTTGGGGGGGGGGTTTCTTGGATAAAGAATGTACAGCTTACAGTAAGTGCCTTTGTCTTTTCTTATAACTTGTGGGCTTTCATCTCTCTTAATCTCCTTCAGAAAGCAGAAAAGGGGGAATGGAAAGGCACCAAGGAAAGGAACACCAGGGAGGAAGGAAGGCAAGAGGAGAAGGGGCATTTCATGGATTCTGAGACATGAGCTTTATCAGGGAAGGGCTTAACAACTGGGAGCGAGACAACAATTTCTTGGATATGTACAGCTTACAGTAAGTGCCTTTGTCTTTTCTTATAACTTGTGGGCTTTCATCTCTCTTAATCTCCTTCAGAAAGCAGAAAAGGGGGAATGGAAAGGCACCAAGGAAAGGAACACCAGGGAGGAAGGAAGGCAAGAGGAGAAGGGGCATTTCATGGATTCTGAGACATGAGCTTTATCAGGGAAGGGCTTAACAACTGGGAGCGAGACAACAACCACAGGCTCTGCTTCCGGTTTCCACAGGCAGGAAAAAGGAGAAGCAGACCAGGCGGCATTTCTCCCAACCGGAAAACCCTTCCAGGTGAGCCAGGAGGGTGTCTGGACAGCGTGTCGGACTTGGGAGACCTGGGTTCCGATCTTCGCTCAGGAGGGGAAGCTTCCTGGTGGGGGTGTCATTGGAGACCCCTCAGCATCTCCCTTCTCCCAAAAATCCCTCTTAGTGTCCCCAGAAGTCAGAAGCAACTTCACAACACAAAGGTGATGCACAGAGAGCACACGATGGAAGGACCTGGATAAAAAACACAGACTGTAAAAACATCTTGATTCCCCAGCTGGGATCTGACCTTGAGATGGATCTGGTTTGCTTTTATCTCTGACAGATCGTCTGGAAAAATGCAACTGAATCGAGAGCCCCTTAAGATTTTGATCTGGCAACGGTGCCTGTGCAATAAGACAATGTCGTCCAGGACACCTCCCAGAGGAGGGGCCCCTTTTGCTTGCCCCCTTCCCCTCCTTCTTCTTCCCCAAACCCCTTTCCCACTGCACTGC